CTACAACAATGTATCACTTTTCTCTTTGTTCTATGTTGCCCTTCCTTATCCTAAAAATGCACTTTTCTTGATGCTGATTCTGATTAAATTGAGTAGGCTTTTTCTCTTGATCCTTTAGCCAACGTTATTGTTTTTGATGATTTTATTGCTTATTAAACTAAATAGCTCAGTTTTAGTGTCAGTGACTCTGCAGGTGTAAAAGTTCACAAGTTTTGCTTTTCTCAATTTCTAAAACAACTAGTTATCTTTCCAACTCGCTTTCTAGACAATCAGAATCAATTACCTTCACTACTCAACATATGCCTTGTTTCTGATACTTAGTTTCTCCATATTCACACATAGGACCTTCTTATCACGGCTTGATCTCCCTAAAACAGTTATCTCATTCTACTCCATCCTAATAATTCTCTTATCATCGTAACTCTTACAACTACCTTAAATCTAACTGGGACTCATTCCATGAGTTTCTTTGTTATGGTTCTTGGGTAGAAAACCTTGTATAGCTGCTCTAAAATGTGCTTCTTATGTAACTTCTTAGATTTAGCCTGGAATGCTTTATTCAGCTCTTATTCAAAGATTCCAAACTAGGCCTTACTTGTCTCTATAGTTTCCTTCTTACTGCGCTGCTGCAATTTCTGATCAAAACCATTACTTCCATATCTATCTCAAAAAGATTTTTTTTTTTTATTATTTATTTTAATTAACCTCCTCAAGGCTGAGAAGACCACTACAGACGAGGAGGCTACTTATTTGTGGTTATAACCCTCTCTCAACTCTATAACTCCAAAACACGAACCTTGACGAACAAGGCCGCCGTGCGGAGAAACGAGTTGAGCGCGGTACTACCAGGGATGTAGTGGGGATCGAACTCAGAACCACTCGTTTATGAAGCCATAAATTCTCCAGAAAATAGACATCTGTTTACTTTTGCTTATTTTGATTCCACCAATCACATCCTACCTAATACAACTGTAAAATGGGTTGATCCATTGCTTGATATTTGTATCACTTAAGCTTCTGTACCTAATGTAATTTCCTGCTTAGCCTCTTCAACAGATTGTGGTCATTACAACAAACCTGTTATAGTCTTCTAGAAGTGTTCTTCAAGGCTGTCATCTATACCTTTAAAGCTATTTAACAAGTGTTTATTAGAGTCTTTTTTTCCAGCCTGTTGGAAACCTACATCTGTTAACTCTATTGACAAAAATTCTGAAGAGCGATCTTATTTGTCTAACTACCATTTCATTAGTCTTCTTCCTATTTTATTTTTATTTCCTATGTTGTTGATTGATGAAAACAGTATTTATTTTGTTGTTGTTGATTGATGAAAAAAGTATATATAAACATCATTTTTTGGTATATATAAATCACTTATTTAGTTTATGTTTAATAAAAAAGTAATGTACACTTGTTGTATTGTTGATTGATGAAAACAGAAGTTCCACTCTTCTGAGTTAACTTTTTTTGTTTATTTTTGTGTAGTCTCCTCTGGTGTAGTCAATTTTATATTTTGGTGCTCTGCTACTCTGTTTAATGCTTAGTTCAAGTTTAAATTTTAGTACTAAGTGCCCTGTGTTTGTACAAACTTGGACCTTATGTCATTGTAGCTCATATATTCTGTAACGATCATTCATAAATATCAAGTCAAGTGTGTTTTTTAACTGTGTTTGCGATAGTTAAAAAGTTGGAATGGTAACATGTTTAAAAAAAAAAGGTTTTTTATTATATTGGTAAGTATGTGTTCTATTGAATTTTCTCTACTTTTTACACTCTCAACATATCTACTATTCCAGATAATGTTTGGAAAGTTAAAATATTTTCGTTTTACTACATCTGCATATACTTTATTATCTACTTAGTCTTTTACACCATGCATGATTTGTCTAAGATTTGTCCAACATATGTCTATTTGATCTTTTAGTTTATATATAAATCCAATGAGGTACTTGATATTTCTAATTAGAATGACAGCATATATTTGTTTTATTTTGCTCTTCTAATTACCAATACATACTTCCTATGATGTGAGGTTGTTCTCTACGTACAAGGATTTTAAATTCTTCTATTTTATTGCCAAGGATTTTTGCTGCATTCATATATAAACATGGGTATTTATTAATACTGCTTAGTTCTTTTTCCGTTCTTAATACTACATTTAAACTTGACAAGTCCTGTTCTATGTATTGCATATTGAAGGGATTCATCTGGTCTTCTCGCTGTATTTTTTATCTTAGCTTCATATTTTTTTATTGCTCCGCTTGTGTCATATCTGGTGAAATATAAACGCCTTTGTACTGTGGGTTTCTTTTGACCCCAAATATCTTTTCCTTGGCTAGTATTAGGTTATTCTCTGACTCATCGCTTTTTTGAGAATATAACTAACAATTTTTCCTGTTGTGCTTTTGGTGGTACAGTTTGTATGCTTGGTGTTGCAGCTTTTTAAAATCGTTTTATTCTTTTAATAAGCACTGGGTTGGTGGCTGCTCCTATATAGTTAATTATTTGACTAATTTATTTCTCAGTTTCAACTAGTTTTTCCTAATTGGTAAATGTTGTTGTGATAATCTGAATATGTTTTTCTTTCTTTTATATCTGCCTTTTTGTTCATTTATAACTGTGTTTACATGGTGCAGTTTATTGTTATATTCTATTGATGACCATGTTTTATAATGAAATTTATTAAATCATTCAAAGTTTGCTTGGTTTACTTGGTATAGTTTCTCTTTCTTTACATTGATGATCATCTTTTAATAAAATAAAATTTATTGTACCATTTAAAGTTTTTAATCCGTTAGGACAAATTAGAAGACGCTTAGAAAGTAATTGTACTTTTAGAATAGGTACTAATAAAGCTTGAATTTTGCATTCAATGACCTACCATCTATTTCTGCCTAAATTTTTTCTCAATATTTGGCTAATTAGTTACTTTTCAACAATATTCCTTTTAAAATTGCCCAGTAACTGTCAATAAGACGCTGTTCAGGACAGTCTAGATGTTTTGCATCATTTGGGACAATGCTGATTTGGTTGTCATACTTCAATGCCTTGGATTAGTTGATTGTTGCCAAATCCGGCCAAAGGCAACCCTTGGAAATAGAAAAAATTAACAGGAGTTATCAAACTGTTAAAGGGCAGCATAAAATCAACAAAAAAAAATTGATACAAAGGATTGCCATAAAGCATAGAAACAAGGAGGGTAATTTTTTGTCAACCTTACAATTTATTTCCAAGAGTTGCAAATAATAACTGTTTTTATGTGTTTGTTATAAATTGGCAAAAGGCATTTCTGAAGACATTCAATGATGTATAGTCTTTCGAGTAGTAAATGGGGCACTATTAAGTCCGCAAGAGTTGATTGCTTGCCACACAAGGATCTTCAGAGCATTTTCAGTATGAATATGCATAAATTTTTTTGCTGATAAAGCCACCTTTTGAATAATAATAATGTTAATGGCCGGACCAATGTAAGAAATTCTTTTTGTACTAAGTTTCATTGCCCACAATAAGGCATAAATTTTCTCATAGTTAAAAAGTTTTACAAGCATCCATTAAGCCAAACGGCTTTAAATTCTCCATCTATTACTCATTTTGTAACTTTTTTCTTGGTGTGTGCCTTCAAGCTCTTCCTATTAAGTGCTCTACTGTAAAGTTTAAATGACTGCATTCAAACTTTTTGGTGGAACCTCTTTGGGATTGGCAGTGATCTCTTTTAATTGACCGAATGATCAAATTCACGTTGTTTTTGTCAACCTTTTATCTCTCCATCCCCTCTTTATCTGTCGATTGTTTTTTTTATTATATTGCCTCAATAAGTGTCCTACTGAAGGTTTAGCAACCTTTAACAAAAAGTGAGTAGGGTTTTGTAGGGAAATTTTTAAAAACTTTTTCCAATTATTTTTTTTTTTACTCATTTTGTATTAATATACCTATAATGTTAGTAGAATACCAACACAATTAAATTTACAAATTAATTTGTTAAGTATTTCTCAAGTTACTATTAAGTACATCCAGACAGAAAGTACTAAACTTAACCGATATGATAGACAAAGCAAAAAGTTTCTAGATTCAACATTAAAGAATATTTAAAAAATTTAGTAAAATACTTAAAATTATCATTTGAAAAAACCTACCTTTCTTACTTTTACATATATATCCTAATCTACTTTTACAATTTTTTGTTTCCCAATTTGCTTTATTTATTCTAACACATCTCTCTAATTTTACATCATAAAATAACCCATTGAACTTTGAATACATATACTGTGTGTATGTATTATCAGACCACAAAAACCATGAGTTATACCAACGATCAGTAAGACCTATAATATTAATAAAATATCTAAAAATAAAATAATATATTAAAACAAAAAACTATGGAAATTAGTATAATAAAATAAATGATAATAGTACCAATCCAATAATTATCTTTACTCATATTGTAGTTTTTTAGAGTGTTTAAAATAAATGTATTTTCAGTTTCATCATCTATGCTTAACAAATTTCCTCCTTTTTCTAAGCAGTTTAAATAAGAATGCTCCCACTTTTTGCCATTTGAATCATTTGCTGTATGAAAATAGTAGCAATAACTAGAAAATTCGAACCAATCACTGACACAACTCCTTTCTATTAACCAAAAAATAAATGAAAAGAAAAACAATTTAAAAGCATAGTATATAAAATAAAAACAAATATCTATTACCAAGTTCTTAGTTTACTTATGATTGATGTTTTAATACTGAAATAACTGTCTTCAAGAATTTATCTATATAAATTGACTGATTATATCTAGATATAAAAGATATATACTACAGCCAATTTTTTTTTTTTTTTTTGTTAAAAAATTTGTTCGATATAGTTCATTTCAAAAACTGAAGTGCACAAAAAATATTTGTGCAGTATTAACCAAAACTCACAATATATACAGTTTTTTACCATATTAAATGCCCTATGAGTCTTAATAGTATCTGTCCAAACCCAAACATGTACTAAAGCCTCTGCTGATATTGGGGAGTTTCAGTAAGATGTCATTACATCGAAATTATTACTAATGTTTTGCGCAAAGCTGAATATATAAAGACATTATTATGTTATTACATTTGTGTCACTATCCTAATAAATCATAAACCTATTATTATTACTATTATTACTATTATTATAATTTGTTTTAATTTGGTAAATATTTTTATAATTAAAGTATCATTAAGTTATCCGGAGCAATCTTTTACTTTTAGATATGAATGTTCTACAAATATTTATTAATTTTAATTTTGTTATACAGCGTTCTTTAGATGATAAATATTTCAAAACTATTATTTAGCAGTGCACTGCCTGACAAAACTTTTAAAATATTTTCGACTTCCTAAATACTTATTTACTATTTGATTGCAACTGTTTGCGTTTATTTTCCCACCTAGTACTTAATGATCTTGTTTTAAAGAATAAATTCATCTTTTATTTTCTTTGTTATTGCTTTAATCTTTAACTTAATACTACAGTCAATTTATTTTTATCATTACATCGAAATTATTTGAAAGAAGTTTATAAGATTTAATTTTTTTCATACTTTCATTCGTTTAATTAAAATATACATTCATAATGTTTTCGCATCATTAAAACATTAAAACAATGAAATAATGATTTTTTTTTTTTTTTTAAATGTATTTATTTTTTTTTTTTTTTGTTGCTAACGCTAATAGAACTTTTATAAATTTTTTAGCAAATATTTTCACAAAAATAAGCTTTTCTTTTTCTCTAATAAATTTATATTTTAATTAAGCTAAAAATAATATAAGTTATAATTTTAATAACAAAAGCTTTTTAAATTTAGTTAAATTTTGGCCGAAAATGTTTCTAATGCTCTAATTTACCGAATGACTTAGGTTAATATTTAGAAAACAAGTTTTTTTATATGACTGCGAAACGCAATTAAACATATGTAAATACTCATTATATTGTTTTTTAGAGATAAACAAACTATTCTGTTCAAACCACAACATCTTTATAAAGATTTTTTTTGAAATTAAATAAAAAACTTTTATTAATATACATATGGTTTTGAGCAAATGCTTTTACAAAATTAAATTAACAGTATTTCTCATAATTAATTTGTATTTATTATGCAATTTAATATTAATAAAAAACTTATATAAATTAACAAAGTTTTATTTAATTTTGTTAAACATTTGCTCTAAACGTTTTATTTAAAAAAGTCTTCACAAATCACCATTCATTGTTCGCAGTAATTTTTTGCTCTAATTTACACAGAATGACGGTAGTTAATATGAAAAAACAGGTTTTTTAATTGAAGTATAACTTTAACATTTTACCAGATTTGATATTTGCATTAAAAAAACGCAATTAAAGATATACAAATATATATTATTTTGTTTTTAACAAAAAGCGAACTTTTTTGTTCAAGTAAACTAGAATCTTAAACAAAAACTAATGTATCTAATTTTTCAAACAATAGTAAAGAAATAAAATAACTTTTAGTTCTCAACTAACTAAACTTTAAAAAAAAAGAATAAATTTAATAAAATATCTATATTGTGTTGACACAATTTAAAGGACATCTGATAATATATACTTTTTATTTTATTTTTTTAAGATTTAAATTTACCTACAACAATTTTAGTTTTGTAGTACAAACTCAAATTATTTTCAGTTACTAAATAAAATTTTAGGAATCGGTTTCTGAAATTTGAGCAAACCGTTTTTTAACATTATTTAAGCATAGACACCAATCATATAACTATATATTATTCATTTTACTGGATAATTTTAATTTAATCATAGACAACAATTATTTTTATTTATTTTACTGGAGCTAATTTAATACAATTATTGAAAACAATATTTTTAATATTAAAATAATAGAATAATTTTGTTATATTAGTTGCTGAAATATTTTTTGAAATAATATTAAGACAGACTGAAAGAAAGAAGGGCAGGGGATTAAATAGGTTTTAACATAACTTGAAAATATAAAGCTGAAGTCCAAAATTTTAGTCAAAATTTAGTTTTTTCAAAGATCAAACCGATTCATCACAAAACCATAAAAAAAAATAAAAACACAGAAAACACAAGAAAATGTGAAACCCTAATTGAAAGGGTCAAATATTATTATAGCTAAAATTGTAACAAAAACATTACTAAATTTTTTCCTACAGCTAAATTTTTATTTAAAAATCTAGCATATATTTTATAAAAGTATAGTCATTTAACTTTTTGTAAAATATTTTACTACCACAAAAAGGATAAAAACTTTTGTATTTGAAATTTGTCATTTGACTGAAGTACATTAATTGAGGCAGTACATTAAATTTTATCTTTTCTAAAATAGCTAAACATTTTTAATTACTATTTTTATATTATATAAGAAATGTTTATACCAAATACAGAATATATAAAATAGTATGCAGATTTATATTTAACTTTAAATAATCGTGAAATTAGATGTGATATACTTGGAGAAAAAAAAAATATATCCAATTTACTATC